ATACTTAAAACAATTATTGAAAAACCAAAACAATACATTAACTATGATATTAGATATTAGGTATAAGGGTACTTTAGTATTTTAATGATATTCTAGATCTCTCTTTTCTGTTATGCTCTTCTATATAAGAACTCACTCATTGTACAAATCAATTACCACAATCAATGAAATTAATATTTTCTCTTTACTCTCTTTTACCTTCTAATATGGTATCAGAGCATTTTTATCCTCCATGAATGGAGATTCCGCTGCAATCATTTTTTTTTTCTTCTTCTTGTTTCCTTTCTTCCGGATCTAATCCCGATCTGTGAATTTTTTTTTATCATCAAAGCTATGTCATAACACTTTTCTTTCTCTTACTTTTTCTTTTCCGGATCTATTTTTTTTTTTTTTTTGCTCTGATGGTGTCTTTTTCTCTTGTGATGCTTTTACCATTGTCAATCGCATCTCCTCCTTCTCCGGTTGTATTCTCCATTAGTGATTCTGGCCAAGGTTCTTTTTGGTCGTCTTCCATTGCCGATCTGTTATGTTCTTGCATTTATTCTATTATTATTTTTTAGTCAAATCTGATCAACATGTTTTCCGATCTGTTTTTTGGTTCTGTTTGGTATCTCTTACTCTAATCAGACTTGTTCATGGTCTGTTTGTCTTCTTTCTCGCCTATGGCGGCGCGTTTTAGTGTCCTTTTGGCCATTTATTTCTTTGTATTGTCCAGATCTGGTCATGATCTAGTTTTTCTTCTTTTTCGCAAGATCTGCTCCCAGTTTGATTTCTTATTCGTATCTATTTGATCTGACATCTTTTTCTTCTTGTTGATGTTTCCGCCATTCATGGCGGCTTGGTCTAGTCATTATTTTTGGCTGCATTTTTTTTTTTTTGGTGTCAGATCTGGGAATTTTTCGGCTGCGTCTTCCTCTTTTCTGGTCATCCTCTCCGACCACGTCTTATTCTCCGGTCGCATCATCCATCTCTCCGACCGTTGTTCCAGATCATTCACATTTCAGATCTGTGTCTTTTTATCACCTCTGACCATGTCTTCTTCTCCAGCCGCTCGTCGGTGGTGTTTATTTTCTAATTTTTTTTCCTGATCTGTTCCAGTCTTTTGTTTTCTTTCTCTTCTCATTTTGCAGGTTTGTGAAGATTCATGGAGCTCATGGATGTTTTTACAACACTGCTATTTTTTTGGTTTTTTGATTTTTCTGATGTATGTTTCTGGCTTGTATTTGGCCATTTAGATTTTATTCCCACTGATGTTATTCAAGTTTGCTGATGTTCATTTCAGAACATTTGATTTTGCCGATGTCCATCCCGGCACCGTTTGGTATTTTGTGGCTGATGTCCATTCCAGTCCTCTCTTCGTGAAGCTGATGTTCATACCAGCACCATTGATTTCGCTGAAGCTCATTCCAACACACTGAAGATTTTGATTTCTCATTCAGGAATTTTTATTTGGTTATTATGTTTTCTTTATTTTTCTTGTTCAAGATGGAAGTTCTCTTTGTTCACTCTCCATCTTGAGGGGGAGTATTAGATATTAGGTATAAGGGTACTTTAGTATTTTAATGATATTCTAGATCTCTCTTTTCTGTTATGCTCTTCTATATAAGAGCTCACTCATTGTACAAATCAATTACCACAATCAATGAAATTAATATTTTCTCTTTACTCTCTTTTACCTTCTAATATATGATAAAGAGACCAAAGTGTAATCAGACCTTAAAAATTCAAATTCAAACTCATGTATGATAAATTATTCGGTGTGCAGTCATACCAACCTCCTCCGAGAACCTTTCAATCCACAAGGTTGAAAGAATCATGATCCATTTTTTTTAATCTCCATTTGCATTCAAAGGGAAACCTAATTCCAAATGTTAGAAGTTGAAAGATTCAAAATAGTAAGAACTAGTATTGTTTACTCACTCTAATGTTTATTTTTCCTTAGTTTTTTTTCTTCTAAGAATGACAAATTAGGCAAATTATTTAAGTTTCTAATAGTATTAAGAATGAATTTGGATAGAAAAAAATATAAAGGGTTAAGTGATTAAAAAAACATAGGGGAATAAGTGATTCAAAGCAAAATCATAGAGATTTTTTAACTTTTCCCTTGATACTTCCATATCAACATTTTACTAGAATTTTAATGACATAGATTGGATCCAATTGAGTTATTTAATTGGTTATTATACATTTTTTTTAAATTATAAGAGGCTATACTTATAACTAGGGGTGTCAATATGGGTTGACACGACACGAATACATCAACACGAACACGACACGAATTTTCATTCGTGTCAAAATCTTCAACACTGACACGACACGAATTCTTTGCGGGTTGACACGACACGACACGACACGAATAACACGCAAAATAGGGGACAAAACAGTAATTGACAAAAAAAATTTAAAAAAATAGATCGAAAATAAATAAATAAATAATAATTAATAATAAAAAAATAATAATTAAAAATAATACGGGTCGACACGAACACGAATTCATAAACACGAACACGACACGAATATTTTGCGTGTCATTTTTTCCAACACGAACACGACACGAATTTTTTTACGGGTCAACCCGAACACGAATTTTCGTGTCGTGTCGCGGGTCGACCCGCGTGTCAAAACCCATATTGACACCCCTACTTATAACTCATTTTCTCTTACAATCTCTTAAAATCATTTTTGTAATCGTTGGGTCAAAGCCACATCAACAACTTTTATTTGATATTATTTTATAACCGTTGATTTGATTTTAATCTAACAATAATAAGAAAATAATGATAAAATGTTGTAAGGAAAAATATGTTGTGAATATAACATACCCCATAAAATAATTATTAATCTAATTATTTTAAAGTAAAGTAATATAATTTAAGATCAATTGTAATATCTGTTCTTATCAGTATTACTTAAAATCTATCATACCTAATTTGAACATTATCACATTAACAAAGATACATGATTAAATTGAGGACACAGTATAAAATTTAAGACTTTTTTCAAAATACAACTGAGAAATTTTATACTTGAGATCCAATACTTATTTGCATGAGTCTATCCAATAAACTAATTAATTGGCTTACTTTAATTACCCAATCAAAATGGTGATTAAGCGATGGTAGTTGTCATTCTTATTGCCAAGCCTTCATCTACTCGTTTTTAATTAAGTAATGATATATTGTCCTTTTAATTCCAGACTTCCATGAACTATCCTCAATACACTATGAGGACTTAACCTATTGCGCATGGAGCAATGATTCAAGATAATTACAAATTTTTATAACTACGATCCATGAAAATGTTGGATATATGGGCTGAAGCTCAATAGGTGAAAGCATGGTTATTTGGGTCTATATGGGCTAAAGCCTAATAGCTTGCATTAACTCTAGGGTTTTCTAAGCGGGAGGTAACACTGTTGAGTATTCCAAACTTGATGTCTCTTGATGTCATATTTCATGCCACAACCCTGCCTCTCCAAACCCTTCTCTCTCAAACTCATTACCTCCAATAATCTTGAAGAATTAGCTTCGTATGTCAGATTTGAGCGAGTAAGGTGTCTATTCGAAGATATCATCGAGAGGGACTCACATTTTAAATTACTTTTGCGATTTGACGGAAGGATTTTCAAGGATCTGAGTTTGAAGATATTGCAGTCGCAACCTTTCAGTCTAGATCCCAGAAATTTTACCCAGTTTCAGAAAATGAAACCTACTGGGCTTTGTTCTATTCATCGAGACGATCGTTTTGAGTGGTCACTCGTCTTAAATGGAGATCGGACGAAGGAGATATGACGATCTGAAGTTTTCGATACACTTTCCTACGAATTTTAATAACTGAAAAATATTCTGATGAGTTTTCGACAGAAGAGGTAGTCCATCTTAAGATTTTTGGGCGCTCCAAATTCGTTTTTTGGGATCTTTTTGGGCAAATTCCAACTCTTCAGAGCGGTTTGATAAAAATAGAGTCTTTGAAGTCCGTGGCCTACAAGGTGCACTCTTTGATAAAAATAGCTCTGATTTAAAAAAATGGCTAAACGTAGTTCCTATCATATTATAAAGTTGCAATCATTTGATGTTACTGAGTTTCATAGTTGGAAATTACATGTTCAATTCGGTATGAAAGAACGTGAAAAATTCTATACTGTATTAAGTGATTTTGCATCTACAATTAAAGATGTGGATGAATATCAATGGAAAAAGGACGAAGATTTTTGTAGGAATTACTTACTAAATTCTTTAAATCCTCGTCTAGCTATGACTTATAGTGAGTATAAGATGACGAAAGAGATATGGGATCACTTGAATGCTCAATTCCAAAAACAAGAGTGGCTCTCCAAAACTCTCCTAGCAGAGAAGTTTTTGAATTCGAATTTAATATGGATTCATACTACAAAGATTCAGGTATTTTGTGGGGGTCATATTTTCAGATTGTGGGGGTCTTTGACCGGCACAAAGTACATTTGTGGCATCCTCAATAACCCCTAGTTTTGCCTACGTCACAACATATTTTGTGGCGTCTTTGTGTGCAATGTCACAATTTGTTGAAATATTTTCTAAAGGTTCCAGACCCCCACAAATGTTTCACTTTCTGGAGGTTTAAGACCCCCACATATGTTGTATCATTTCTGAAGGTTTATAACCTCCACAATGTTTGACTTTTTATCTTGCATAAACCCCTATCATTTTCTGGAGGGCATAGACTGCTACAATTTATTTATTATTTTTGCAGGTTTAAACCCCCACTAAATACTAGTTATTCAAATTTAAAATTTTTTTATATCATAAATTTTGGAATTGGGCCTCATCACTTGATTTGTTAGCCAATTTATTATTTATCTTTTTGATCTCTTAACATTTCTCAATGACATAAATTTCTCACGTGCATGATGCATAAAATCCACTCAAAAATGAATTACCTTATCGTTTAAATCATTTAAAAATAAATGTTGTATAGATAAATTTATCCATTTATCTATACACTCAAGAATCTGTACACTGCAAGAATACAACATTACTAAATCATTCAAAAAGAAAAAACTTGATAAATAGGCAGTTTAAGACGTCCATACAGGGACAATCTAGCTTTGTACATATCTTTTACTGTAATGATGCAAAAAAGATCTGGGGCTCTGATGAGTTTTCTTTAGCTGCTGACATGAAAAGGTACTTAGTGACAACATTACAGTAAAGTAGTGATTGACACATTATGTTTCCGCCAAAGAGAATATAATTGACGACCAAATTCATGAGTTAACTGATCTTCATGCTCCACAAGGTCCAGCTCAGGACGAACAGCTGGATAGCCCTGTAATGTAATGCAATGCAACCATCATAAAGCATTTCAATTTCAAACTATTCATTAAACAAAAGAGTTGACATGTTGTGTTATCGCATTAATGAGCTATATTATTGTCCCAAAAAAATAAACATAAGTACCTGAAACTTGGCTTTTCTAATTGCAAATAAGCCTTCAATTAGAAACTGAACTCGTTTGTCAATTTCTCCTTCATTAAGAATTTCACGAAACCGCTCAAAGATACCTGTAAAATTATAAATCTAACTTAATAAAAAACATCCAAGATATACACCATTTTTTATCCTCTTTGCCTAACAATTCATCAAGATAACTTAATATTCTAACTTAGACAGAAGAAATGAGAAAGCTACATGAGCTTTTCTCAAAAGATATATAAGAAATAATATGATGACTTGGCATATGCAACATTTACAAATAATAAAATAAACAACCACAATACAACCTTGCTTGCATAAGAAATAGTAAGGATGCAATCAAGAAACTATTTTAGAGGTAAAACAATCTTTCCTGAATGAAGTAGATACACACAAGGCTCCTCACCGATAATAGATGAGGTCTTGTTTCCCTGACATCATTTAAGTAGCTAAGAAAAAACAGAGCAACAATCGATCTTCACATCAATCCTCACAACCTTAGATTAAGATGATAAAAGTAGCTACATCTTAAAAGTGTCCATTAATCAACATCACAATGTATTAGCAACAAACACAGCAATGCAGTCAAAAGACCAAGCATACTCGACTTACACTCTTAGCTAGAAGCCACACTCCATGTTCTCTGACTTCCACCACAGGCATTTCCATCCTGCAGGTGTTTATAATTATAAGATGATCAAAACAACAATAAATTAACCACATGAAAGCAAAAAAAATTGAGCCTTACTCAGGTGGAGCCGTGGGCCACCTTAACAGTGCAGTTACAGTACCTATGAAGAAAACATTAACATAAAAATACAATACTAAACTTTAAGATTTATCAATGGTATTAATCTCAAACCCATACCTGAGCTATTTTTTGACAGTGGTATAGTAAGAGGGATTAATCCTTGCTTGGCACCCGGAGAGATAATAGATTCACCTGCTATACAAAAAATTCAAGCTACATATGTGCACAACATAACTTGATAGACCAAAATAATCTAAGTAACATGTGACAAAATACATAATTATAATTATTCTAACATGAGATTATATAAATGGTTGAGTATACTTTAGGTAGTAACAAGGATCTATACACTTTTTCAGTGGAAATAAAATAAAATAAAAGAAAAAAACTTGGTATTTTTGAGTAAATCATTTAAAAAAAGTAGATGAATGTTGTATTATTTATCTCCAAGCATCATCCGGGTGTTCTTTTCTTATTCTCTGGACTTCCTGAAATGGAAAAAATGAGGAATTTTTCTATCAAGATAAAAAACAGATGAATGCAACTCTGCTCGAAATAATCAGTGAGGTAAACAACTTACTTCTTGCACATTAGTACTATGAACCTTGGTTAGCTGAAGATTATAAAGGGTAGATATACTGAACAAAGTCAAAAACAATCATCAATTATGCAAAAACTTTTAACACCAAACAGTTACAGAATTTACCAGCATTATTAAATTATCATAAACATGGAAACCAAACTAATTAATCTAAAATCTAATAACAAACCAGAGCTTAGAAGTAATCCACATATCCTCATGCTTCACTACACCCTCCTCAAACAACATCTTCAACACAGAGCCGATCAGCAATAGAAAGAACGCATCATTCTCTTCTCATATAAGACACGACCAAAATACTTCTTTTAATCATTTATTATCAAATAGGTAGTTAATTCTTTTGAATCAAGATAATACAGACACCAAATGAACACAACACAAACAAATAAACACCTAGTTGTGAGAACTACCTCCTTCTTGTTGCCATAGATTTGAGCACAATCAACGTGGCGGTAATAACTTGTACCAAATTGATTAATCAAATATCATTATATTGAAATACGAGATTTCCAAACCTTGTAAGTGTGAAAATTGATAACATAATAGCTAAAAAAATGCTAAAAGAAACAAAAAGATTAGTTAGTAGAGTGATTAATAGTACTGACAAACATCCAACAAATTGAAGAAGCCCTATCAAATTCAACATAAATAATTTTAAAAATGAAAAAAATAAAAGAAAAAAGCGAATCTGAAAGCATGAATAAAGATTACGGGGAAACCTTGATGGGAGCAGCAATAGCTTCACCGATGAGGCCAGGATCGGACTGCCATGTTCCCAAACGGATGAGAGGGATCTTAGCTTCGGTGTTGAGATCGAAGAACCGATTGACATTTTCTCGGTATCCAAACAGCTCATAAACCCTAGCGAGAAAATGCTTCTTTGGCTTAGCTTTAGAATTTTGCTGCATGCTGCATTATGCAGGGAAGATGGTAATGCTTAGGTTTGAATAAGGGAGGAGACATTGTAGCGCTTCAGTAGAATTTTTTCGTATAAAGAAGATAGAGGGTGTTAGGGAAGGGAATACAATTTTTTAAAAAAAATTACATCATTTAGTGGAGGTTTTCTTGACCTACGCTAAAAAACCTCCATAAATTACCCATTTTTTTGTAGTGTCAAGTATCACCTCTCAATTAATTGAATTAGAAAACACGAGGAACAAGCTAAAAGATGATAAATTTGATATGTCTGATAATCTTTTTGTCAGTCTTGTTTTGAGTAAACTACCTGCTGAATGGAATTCTTTAATGACTGAAATGCATAGATTGAAAGAACAGATTGGACTAGATGAATTAAAGAGGTTTATTCATATTGAGGATCAAAACTATTCTAGGAAGATTTTGGAACAAGTAGGATAACAAAAGTCAGTTGCCAACTTAGTTTCACATTCCAATAAACCTCAAAAGAAGTCACCAAAATGTGAATCATCTTCAGAGTTAGAGGCTAAAAAGACTATCTTCAAAAAGAAGAAGAAGGGCAAGTGCTATAATTGTGAAAAGTGGGGTCACTGGACTGCAGAGTGTAAGCTACCAAATATGTCAAAGTATAACACAAAATGAGGCTAATATGCTAACTAATGAACCTAACCCTTAAGCTTTCATTGGAATGATGAAAAATGGAAAGGTCAGCAACTCTTCTGAGTGGTGGTTGGATAGCGGTGCTACCTGTCATGCTACAAATGATAAGAATTTACTCATTGAGGTCACAAAAGTGAAAGACACTATGGAAAATTGCAATGATGGTGAGGCAGATGTCACTCATACTGGAACTGCAAACTTGATGCTTTCTTCAGGTAAATTACTAACTCTAAAACATGTTAGAGTAGTACATTTACTCAAAAAGAATTTGATATATATGAGTTTACTTGATAAAGCTGGTATGTTTTTCTCAACTATGAATGGTAGGGTAACTTTATCTGTGCATTCATGGTTAATGGTATGTATAGATCGCGTTTAGATACTGAGAGCATAAACCATATGAGTTCAAATTTGATTGATCCAAAGTTGTTACATAATAGAATTGGACTTGTGAACTACAGAAAAATGCAACATCTAGCTAAAACTCATGATATTCCATTAGAAGCCTCTATTCAATTTGATAAATGTGAAGTATGTGCATAAACTAAGATCACTAAAAACCCTTTTTAAGTCAGTTTCTAAAAGCACATAACTTGTTGATCTGATACATTCTGACCTTTGTGACTTTAAAAATTATATTACTAGAGGTGGTCATAAGTACTAGATAACATTCATAGACAATTTTTCTAGATATTGTTATGTATATTTGTTGAAATTGAAATATGAAGCTTTTGAAAGGTTCAAGATTTTTAAGTCAAGAGTAGAAAATCAACTCAACTTGAAAATTAAGAGGTTTAGGAGTGATAGAGGAGGAGAGTACACAATGACAGGGTTCAAGGAATTTTGCACTTCAGAGGCATAATACTTGAAACCACTGCTCCTTACTCACCCCAATCAAATGGTGTTGCTGAGCGTAAGAATATGACATTAACTGAAATGTTAAACTCATGTTACTTAGAGCTAGCATGCCTTCCTCCTATTGGGGAGAAGCAATTTTAACTGCCAATCACACCCTGAATAGGATGCCGCACTCTAAGTTGTCTATGACTGGTTATGAGATATAGCATAAGCATTCTTGTAGATATGATACTCTTAAGACTTGAGGATGCATTGCTTATGTAAGAATACAATATCCTAAGAGACCTAATGTGGGACCTAGAACCATTACTTGCGTATCTCTAGGAAGTGCAGAAGACAGTGCTGCAAATAGATTTTTGGATCTATCTACAAATGCGGTGATAGAATCCAGAGATGCAGAATTCTTTTAGAATAAGTTTATCAAAGGTCATGGCTTGAATTTTTTTGGATCTACAAATATGATTTTAGAATCTCCTATAGAATCTGAAGCAAGCCTTTCTGACATTTACCCCACACAATTGGCTATTGAATCAGTTTCAATTAGAGTATCTACGAGAGAAAAAGAGTTCCCAAAGACTTTGGCGAGGACTTTGTCACTTACCATCTATCAAGAAGCGATGAGATCTAGGGAATCTATACTGTGGGCAGAAGCCATAGGTGATGAAAAGAGCTCTCTACTGCAAAATCATATTTGGCAACTAGTCAATTTGCCAAAAGGGACTAAGGCTATAGGTTGTAAGTGGATACTAAAGAAGAAACTGAATAGTGATGGATCAATAGCTAGATAGAAAGCATGTTTAGTAGCTAAAGGCTATAGACAACAAAGTGGAGTAGACTATTTTGTTGTCTACTCACTTGTGTGTCATTTATCAACTATAAGAATTCTTCTTGCTTTGGCATCTATTGAACACTATGTAGTGCATCAAATGGATGTAAATACAACTTTCCTAAATGAAGAGTTAAATGAAGAAATATATATGGAACAACCGGAAGGGTTTGTCATGAAAGGTCATGAGGACAAAGTTTGTAAATTAAATAAATCTTTGTATGGTCTTAAGCAAGAACCTAAGATGTGACATCTTAAATTTGACAAAGTGGTAAAGAGTTATGGATTTTAGTCTAGTTTTTCAGATAAATGCCTTTACCATTACTTCATGTCAAATAAGATAGTCATCATTTGTTTGTATATGGATGGCATGTTACTTCTTGGCTCCGATCATTTTATAGTGAGTGACACAAAAGCTAATTTAGCTAAAGAATTTGAAATGAAAGATCTTGGTGTTGCTAATACCATTCTTGGTATGAAAGTAAGCTTTGAAAGGAAAATAGTCTCCTTTAGCCAGACTCATTATATTGAGCCGCTACATTTTACCTAGGGATACAGTGAGTGCAAACTGAGTGAGACACCATGTGATTATAATAAAAGACTGAGTCCTAATGAAGGAACCAGCGTAGATTAGTTAAAATATTCATAACTGATTGGTAGTCTCATATATGCTGCAAGTTGCACTAAACCTGATATAGCCTTTACAGTTGGCATGCTGAGTTGTTTTACTAGTAATCCTAGTAAAGAGCATTAGGATGTCTTCGATAGGCTGATGAGATACCTCAAAGGTACCAAAGATTATGTTTTATACTACTCTGGTTATCCTTCAATTGTAAATGGATATTCTAATGCGTCATGGGGCTCATAAATAGAAAATAGTAAGTCTAATGGTGGATATGTTTTCACTTTGGGTGGAGTTGCTATTACTTGGAAATCCAAAGACAAACTTGTATTGCATTGTCATCTATGGAATCAGAACTTTTTGCCTTAGCCTCAACCGGCGAAGAGACAAAGTGGATAAAGAATATAATTATGGATATTCCTTTGACTCGACTAAAGATTAATTCTTTAAGTCTATTATGTGATAATTAAGTCACTGCCCAAGTTGTTAAAAATGCTCTCTTTAATTCAAAGAGAAGACATGTAAGACTAAGATATGTGCTGTTGAATTATCTGAGAGAAAAAGGAGTTATCACCTTGATCAATGTGAGATCGAAGGATAACTTTGCCGATGCTCTCACAAAAGGTATGCCTAGAGATCGATTATTCAAAATAGTGGGGCATATGGGGTTGAAAACTATGTAGACAAGTCTTAATTACCATTTACTTTCCTTCTAATTGTGCATTATGAATTATCGAATCTTCCTTTTGTTGGCCAAAACGATAAGCACAATTTATATGTCTCATCGATGTTCATGGTTGCTAATTAATTTGAAAATGATAAGTTATCTCATTCCAAACTTGATGAAGTTAACTTGAACCTAAATCAAAGGTTCTACTTGGGAAACTTATGTCATTCCAAACTTGATGATACAATCCAACCAAGTTGGACCATCCTTTTGGTTAAATGATCTTATTACAAACTTTATGCTAGATTATTTGACTTTGAGGAATTAGTAATTATGACATTCCAAATTGAGACATTGAAACAGTTGTTTGCATAAGAAGCCTGTTGGTCTTGTTCTTATTTGAAACTTGACATCTCATGACTAGGTTACTGTAAGTGTCTTGACTATTGGTCTTGTTCATTGAAACTAGACAATAATTATTCTCTTACAAATAAACTTAAGTTGATGGCTCTTTACAAATCAAACTATTTAAGCCTTGTTCATAATTTATGAAACTAGCGTGATGCTTATGAACATGATATTATGATGCTTTATGACATTAATATATGTTCTTCTTTTCCTGATGATATGATGCTAAGTTCTTTTAGTAGAAGTAGACATCTTTGGTAGATTATTCAACTGATTGAATTCATGATAATATGAAACTCGTATTTGATATTCTATAGGGGATGACAGAGATGAAAGAGCTTAATGAGTGGGATCCTGACCAAGATGACCTGCTTGAAGAATGAATATATCATTTAGAGTGTGTGGGGACTAGACAGTTTACCCGCTATTACCCATTTTGATGGAGTCCATTTATTTGAAATTATTTGAGACTTATACTTTGCTATCTTTATTTACGAACATTGTTGATTGTGATCTGATTTTGAGACTTATTTTAGATGTTGGGATTTTGATGACTTTAGATTGAATCTAAAACTCTAAATATTTATTTTGGTATGTTGGTCTTACAACAGATTCATGATAAAGATAGTTTATTTATTTAGATTGCAAATGACGATTGAGTTTAATATTTTACCGTTAAAACTCTTTGATTGATCCAAGTTAATTGTCTTGGACTGGATGTGAATGATTAATATTTATTTGAACATTACATTGATCACTCTATTGGATTGTGATGTATGGTGAATATAGGAGGAGATTGTTGGATATATTAATAATATAATCCAATAGTATGTTCATATACAAGCCCAATAGGTGAAAACATGGTTATTTGGGTCCATATGGGCTGAAGTCCCAATAGATTGCATTATCTCTAAGGTTTCCTAAGCTAGAGGTAACATTGTTGAGCATTCCAAACTTGATGCCTCTTGGTGTAATACTTCAAGCAACAACCCTGTCTCCATACCTTTCTCTCTCAAACTCATTACCTCCAACAGATAAGACGAA